ACAGTCTTCATGATGTTCAGTGACTTGGGTTTGTGGTATGACCAGTTAAACCTCTGGGATGAGGACCATAGGTGACAGTTCTGCCTCTTGGGCATACTGGAACTTTCTGTGGCAAAGGTAAAATTAGTCTGAAGAAAACAAAGCTTATTTCACAACAACTCAGACTATTAGGCTAAGTACAGATGGTCAAAAAGCGTGAGGCTGAATTGGTTCAGTCTTTGCACTTTAGCACTTTGCAGAGATTGAACTGATAAGCAAATGAAAACACATTTACTTTTGATTCACGAAATGCAGCCACATATCTGCAGTGGCTCAAGCCAGAAGCTGGAGGGCACTAGAGCAGGCCTGCCAGCCAGTGCCCAAGGAGAGGGAAGAGAGAGAACCCTGGTGGAGCAAAGGGGGCATGGCCAGGACCCAACGCATGCTCTGCCTGGGTGCTGGGGAGGGGAAGGTAGTGGCATTGAGTTCATAAAAGCTTGAACAAGAAGAGTTCTTTCTCTGAAAAACTATAAACTGAAGAGCTATAAATGCAACCTGGGCTGCGTGTTCGCTTACTCTTTCTGCTGCCCCTGAATCTCTGGGATTTGCAGTCCACAATCAGAGCAGTAGGACTCTCAGGGTTGGTCCTCACTTTCTCTTTCTGCTTCCAGGTGCCTTTGGGATTTGTAGTTGCAGCCAGCACGAAGTCTTAGCAGGGCAGGGCAGCTCTGTACTTGGGTGGGGTGGGGGGAGTGACTTTAATCCCCCTCCCTGGCCCCAGACCCTAGCCGGGGTTTGCCTGGGGGGAGCCAGTAAGCTGGCCAGTGAGCCAGCCCTCACTGCCCCAGCTAGAGAGCAGAGGGTTGGGCCCAGCCCTCCTTTCTGGAGCAGACAGCCCAGCCCAGGGCAGGAAAGCATTCTGGGTTGCTGGGAGACTGATTCAACTTGAACCAGGAAGGGGTGTGGGACAGAAGTTTCATAAACCAGTTTAAACTGAATCAGTTAACTCTGATAGTACGTTCAACCAGGTTTATCTTAACTAGTTTCAGCCATTTTGAAACTGGTTTATATCCACTGAACCTTCTGTCCTCTTATAGGTTTAAATCGGTTTCTAATCACTTAACTAGTTTGTGTAACTTTTGTCCCTATCCCTATAGATTTCCACAGGGACTAAAGCAGGGGTATCCAACCTGCAGCACAAGCAGCTTCTGTGAGTAACTGATTAGACATGGGACAGACAGCACAGTGGCAGATAAAGCAGGGAGCAGAAAGCAAAGCATCAGATCAAGGAGGGAGCACAGGGTAGTGAGCAGAAAGCAAAGCAGAGGATTGCACAAGTAAGGGAATTGGAGTGGCACTTGGGAAGGATGCAGGGCTAGTTTGTCATGTCTACCAAAAAGGTAGGCCCCTACTGAACTAAAATGCCATCCCAACTTCACCATCTTCCTTCAAGTACAGGGCTAATTTCAACCTGATCTTCCCCGATTTATAAATACTTAGCATGTTCAAATAAATAAAAAAACCTGACCAGAATAATGTGCTACTTGAAACAGTTTTTCCAAGTACTGGGAGTTGAGAAAATAAATGACTAGTTTCCTTGTAGTACTTAATGTACTATTGAAAGGTTCCTAAGTAACACATTGGAGAAATGCACAAAGCAATGTAAAATTATATGTTTGGTGTCCCCTCACACTGAATGTGTAAGGTTGCTTAGTGTGTCTATTGAATGCTAAAATGTACCCTAAATTTACATAGGATGTGACAGATAGTAAAGGCCATAATATGATTAAATTCAGTAGGTTGAGCATATCATGGAATTGTTCCAGAAGCTGATTTTCTGCAGAATGATCTTTGCCTTTCCTCAAATCACTACTAGCAGCGTGTTCAGGACTTTTAGACCAGCTGAAATGCCCTTCATGAACAGTGATGGGTGAAAAATCATGAATATACTTAGAACTAATTGCTGAAGAGGTTTTTTTTAATTGTAATAGTGATAAATAATAAAGGGCCACATTGAATGGCAGTAACTGAAAACAAGACAATGGGCAAATTATCCTGACAAACTTAGGCATGTCATTCTTTAAATTGGTGAACTGTGAGTAGTTGCAAATTTTTTTTAGGGTGCATAAAACTTTTTTGGGATGGAGGAGAGGAATGGAGAGTGAGAATATGTAAAATACATTTTGCTTGCATACTCTGTTTTATCAAGTAGACATTTTAGTTGAAAATACTACTATGCATTTGTCATAAATAAGCAGTGCCTACAGGAGTATGTATCTAGTGACAAGTGTACAGATTAAAAAATAACTAAAGGTTAATAAGAGAGAATTACTATACTTAAAAAACATTGTATTTCCTCCTGGTGTTGATTACAGTAACAACACAAAGTATTAATTGGTGGAAAATCTAATAGGTCAAAATTAAATTAAGGTACGACTTTTGACTCGAATAATGCATATGTAACGTTTATTCCAGTTGGAATGATTTTAGTTCTTGTAGCTAAGGAAGCAGATTCAAGCGTTACAGTAGTGTGTGCTTTCTGAAGCCTAACTGATCATGTGTGTATTTGAAGTTTAAATCATGACTGTAATATTTACTATGGCTGCAAAACAAATATTGCCTTGGTGTTAGTCTCAGATTAGGATTTGTTGTGCTGAATACTTTACACATACTAATTAAGAGAGCCTCTGCACTCTGGAGTTTACCATCTAAATGTACTTATTAGTCACTTTAAATTGGCACCTAAACAATTGTGTCAAAGCTAAGGTGGTTGCATTATCCTTTGCATAATATAAATACACAGCAAATTTGTTTTCCTATTTTTTATATTGGAGTATTTTGTAAATCAGAGATGAGGTTATAGGCTGATCCAGCGAGGCATTTTTGCCCATAAAATTGTTCCTAAAGCAGATATCCAGCAAACTTGTAAAAATGGCAGCTTCATTCATTTTAAACTTCTTCTTTTCTTTCCTTTGAGCCCTTACATCATTGTGCTGTGCCTTATGATTATGATTTGATCACGTTATAATAAAATCATACAGTTCTTGGTGTAAGTGGTCTCAGTTACTGTTTTAGCTCCCACTTACTGCAGAGTAAGGGTGTCAAACTTGCCATTCCTTCTGGGCAGAATCAAGACAGCAGAGTGAGTGACCTTGGCTGCCATGGGGGTTAATGAAGCTGTTGCTCACTCCCTCCCACCAGTGCATGACCCGTATGGCTCAATACCTGGGATTTCAATGGTGGGCTCCGCTTCCAAATTCCCAGCCCCTCTGGGAGCCCCATAGGATAGAAAACAAGAATCTGTGGGCCATACGTTTAATGCCCTCGCTGTTGAGGAGTAGTGGGCATATGGATAGTTACAGTGGAGCAACTAATTTGTGGTAGAATCATGGGGAAATTGTTTGCATGTCCACACCCTTAAATGCTTCTCCAGAGCAGTATATTTGTCCTATAACAGCGAGGTAAAATCTACTTGGGAAAGAAGAAAAAAAATGTGTCAGGAAAAAGAACAGTAATGCTTAGTGGTTAAACCTACCAGAAATGTGCTATAATCCCTGACAAGGATTGAAGATGGATTGGAGATTAATGCTATTATCAGTGCATTATATTTTCTAACGTATTGCACCATGACAGTAGGTGTATTACAACCATTTTGAGGACTTACTGTCTGAATTAGCTGCTATTCCTTTTTTCATTGTCAAAGAAAGTAGTGTAATTTAGGGTGGAGGGTGGTGGAAAAAGGGTATCACTATAGTAGTAACAGCTAGAGCAGGCAAACCTTAGGGTAGCAGCAACAGCCAGAAAGCTTTTTTGAGTCCCTGAAGCAGGCAAGATTTCTTCCCCTGCTTCTCCTGGCACCCTCTGCCCTCCCAGGGCACAAATGCTGCTAGTTACATTATGGTAAAAAAGAATGAAGTAATTTGATTTTGAGTAAGATGTGTGTATTAAACTTAGGAACACAGTCTGCCAGGGTTAGCAGGCATATTGGTCGCTGACAGATGTGGAAAAAAAATTCAATCAGCTGTTAGATAAAAACGCCAAAAAGCCTCACTGAAGCACGCAATCTATACAGACGTTGGGCAAGCGAGGTCAAATTGATGCAACTCCTCTTCTGGGCACGTGCTGCACTCAGCACAGGGATGCGCTGAGCTGAAAGTAAAGCACTGTTTGTTTGGTTTTTTCCCCCACATCTGTCAGTGGCCATTAATTGTTTCAGAAAGTCTGCTGTTAAGGATCTACAACATATTGGCTGAGTGTCAAACAGTCTTTGGTTACTGTATTTTAAAAGTCAAAAAAGCTAATGGATAAACCAATCTGACCACTATGTTGCCTCACTAAATATAATGTAGTGAAATGAAAGTGTTCTGATTTATTTGCCAAGAAAAACTTCAAACTTTCTCTGAATAAAAATGCTGGCACTGGGTAAAAAATGCATTTTAGATTTACATGTATGTTGGTATGATGCCATGATAACACTGCAAGACTTGTAAACAAACTACTAACCCAGTGGTAATATTTTTGCATATTCAGAATCCCTTTGACAATACTGAAAATGTACAAAAATAACTTATTCTCAGTTTGAATGTTTACATGTTAACAATTTGCATTTCCATTTGTGGTAGAAGAATAAGGGTCCTATCTTTATTACAGTGGCCATGCTATTTTATAAAGTGGCTTTGATATTTGCCCTTATTTCTCAGCATCTTCTGTTAGTTGTCTAGTGTTAGTTGTATTGAAGTATTACTCTGTGTGAGGTTTTTCTTAATCTTCTTTACTAAGCTTTAGGATGAAACTTTTAGAGAAAAATGCTTTCAAGTCTTTATAGTAGTCCAAAAATAATAGAGCAATACAATCTTAAGGAATTTTAATTTTCTCAACATTGTATAAGCTTTGTTTATAGTTATCCAGTTTTAGTTATGATTCAAAGTATCTGTATAATGTACAGTGAATGGCATTGCATTTCAGCAGTTAAATGCTTTGAAAAAACCAACCATTTACTAAAAGTGCGTTTTATTTTTCAGAAACGAGCTAAGGGTCAGGTGCTATTTGACAGGGTGTGTGAACATCTCAATTTATTGGAAAAGGACTATTTTGGCCTGCTGTTTTATGAAAACTCAGATCAGAAGGTAAGCACTGACATCCGTTTATATTGCTAGGTACTTCATTAGATTCCTTATTTTTTAGGAATATAAGTTGTACTCAAAGTCTTGATTAAAAAGCCTGGCTTCTAAAACAGATTAATTTGTTTTAATCTGTTGCAACTTTGCTATAAGTTCTGTTCTGATTAGACTGATGCATGAAGTGAAATGTCGGATGATATGTTCTGTTGTTATTGTTAGGATTGAGGGAAGTACTCATTAACCATCTGAATCTTTATAAAAACCTTTTATAAAAACCTTTTATTCAAACCATTTATAAAAATCTTTATATTTAGAGTAAAATATAACATAAGCATGTCATCTTTGCCTGTAAGGTAAATTTCACTGACATTTTAGCCATCATTAATCTCTTGATAAATCTTCAAAACTTTGACATCTCTTCAGTAAATTAGGATCATCTTTTTTCCCTTTTTGTACCTTACATGCTTCTTTCATCTTGCAACTAAACCAGAGCTTTATTTCCATGTTTCAGTTGCTTTGATACCTATCCTCTCATCCTTTCATAATATATTGTTGGAGAAGAGGAATAGGAGGAAGAATCTTGGATCTAATCCTCCAGTTTGGACTAATAATTCCTTTTTTGCACCTTTGAAATCTCACATTTAAGGGAATCGTCACCATTTGAAAGGATGAGACTACAGCTAGTTAAATGGTGGAAGCTATTTTACGACTTATATGTATAGATTTTTAAAAGACTTGCTTAAAATCAGAAAATGTTATTTTTCTAAATCATTTATGATCTTCCCCTGGCCTTTTTCAATATTACCTGGTACTAGTTTACAGGACTGGATGGGTGGACAAGGAAAATAGAGCACTGGCTTCTCGATAGCCTGCCCAACAGCAAGCTGTCAGGGGGTTGGGCAGGGTTGAGTCTTCTTGGAGCCCCAGGAGGGTTGCCACTGGGGTGAATAGCCTCTGGCCACTTGCCAGTTGGCCTGGAGGAGAGCAGGCAGCTTCAGGATGGTAGAATAGTCCCCCTGGCATGCCTCTTGTTGCACCAGTGGGGCGGGGTGCCAGGAGACAGCTGCATGGTGGCTACAACTGGTCCAGGAGGGACAGGACAGGGGAAAGGAGACAGCTGTGTAGGGGTTGCAAGGAGCTCAGGAATCCTTGTTGCAGCCACAGAATGCCACCACCTCCCTCTGCACTGCTCTGGGCCAGCCCCTGGCTAGGAACAGGAGCTATTCTCCTGGAGTGGGAACAGAGAGGGTTGCCACCAGGGGTGAATGGCCTCCCATCCCACCAGTCAGCTGATTGGTAGGATGGGGTGGGGCAGTGTTCTCTTGGGGATGAAACCTCCTGTGGCAGTGCCAGTTGACAGCCTGCTCTTTTCCTAGGCAAGGGAGAGGACAGATTGCCAATTAATAGCCTCCCCTAAGGGTTGGGGTGGCCCAGGGAGCAGCCCTCTAGTGCAGAGGGCTGTGTTAAGATTTTTAAGACTTGGTATAGTACAGTCAAAACTGGGCCACAGCCAATTGTGATGCTACCTAGTAGTGTAGCAAAATTGCTGCTGATTTCAGTAGTTCATCTGAATAAAGGCTACTGGCTGGGCCCCATACTGTCATATAGGGAAACAAAATTGTTTGATTTTGAATGTTTGCCTGAACTGGAGGAGGTGGAAAAGGGGGGCTCCTTCATTTTTCTGTTTTCTGTTGTAGTTTAAGAAAATACAGAAAAATCAGGTGAGGGAATGTCCCTCCATTTGTGTTTTTCTTAATTTGAATGTTTATTAAGTTGTGTAGAAGAATTGTTTAAAAATATTGTCATGTTAATTGACACACTAGAATGTGAGTTTTCATTATTTATGACATTAAGCTGTTGATAATTCTCTTAAAGCACAGTGAAAATTTCTAGATGAAGCTTGTAAAATAAATATATATATATATGGGGGGGAGAGAGAGAGAGAGAGAGGTATAGAAATCTATATCTTTATAGATCTCTCTCTCTCTCGATCTAGAGAGAGAGAGAGAGATCTATATCAATAGATAGATATCTTGAGTTTGTTCCACTCCCACCAGTTTGTGTTCAAAACTGCAAGAAGAAAATCCCAAATCATTGCAAAACCAAGCTGAATTAAGTGTATGTAGATTGTTTTGCAAATTCTAATAAAAGCAATGACAGTCTTGGATCCCCACTATTCTAGAAAGGATTACAAGTGAGAACCACTTCAGTGTATGCAGTACCATTTGTGAATATCTGTTGACATAATTTTTCTAGCAATCAGACATCTGTTAAAAGCTTCTGAAACTTTTAATTAAAAAATAGTTGAGTAGTTTCCAGAGTATGCATGTCATTTACATTACAAACCACCAAGTATAGAATATTTGCCATTCTTTGGTGGTTACTGCACAGTGTTGCCTCTTGGCAAGAGCAGGAGAGTACAGTGACCGCAGTCTCTAACGGGATACCAGGAGGTGTATGAAATCAGATGCTTGCACGTAGTAACAACTTCATTGCAAGTCCAGAGATGAGCAATTACTAATCTAGCTGCTATTAATGTCACTGTGGATTTTTTTGCATTACGGCTTGTACTTGCACGTCACCTTTGACTTCATTGACCTTTTTTCTGACTTTTATTTTCCCCTGCCATAAGTCACATTCTATTCATCATGGTCTTTGGGGTTTTGCAGCCCAGTCCTGCTGCCGCCCTTTCAACATCTGCCTTACTTGTAGTTTTATTCATATTCCAAATTCCAATAGGTTCTGTCCTCTGCTCTTTCCCATCTTATCTAATTTAGGAAATGAAAATTGCATGCAACTGATTTTTAAATGGTTTTTAAATCTCTTCCTATGGCTAGTTTGAAACAGCACAATCATCCCATCTATTCACCATATTTCTTCTCAGTGCTGATCCTCTTCTTCCCTCCCCCACAGTTAAACATTCACAACACTCCCATATATATT